GAACGGGGCTCCTGGCCTTACTAGGAGCAAAGGACGCTACTAGGAGCTTACACCTCAACGTTTCGCCGCCGGATTCCGGCGTGGCCAAGGGTCCCAGTTTCGGGTCTCCAATCTCCGCAGGCCGTGGCAATTGTTCATTCGGACCGCCTAATTGGTTACGTCTCACTTCTCCAGGCGCATGGGTTGGGAGGAAGCAAACATTGTTTCTACTAGTAGCGTGGTACTTGTTACTACTAGTAAGGCACCTGTTACTACTAGCGTGGCACTTGTTCCTAGTAGCTTATTGTTTCTAATAGCTTCTTGTTACTACTAGTAAGGTACTTGTTACTAGAAGTTTGCAGGGTTTTGGGGTTGAAACCTATTGAAACGCTGCCTCCACCCCAGTAGCGATGCCCTCCAACCTACTAGCGATGGCCTCCAACGAAGAAGAAATGGCGGAGTTTTGCAGAGGTTTGGGATTAAAATGGCCTCCAACCTAGTAACCTAGTAGTGATGGCCTCGAACCTATTGAAGCATTGCCAGAAACACACTCACTTGACCCAGTGCGCGCCCACGGCCGGCGCGCCGGCGGAAGGCAGTCCGCACTCCTGTCCTGCCCACTGTGGGGCTTGTCTGGTTTATCCCATGTTGGGACAATCCCTGGTGCTAAGCGGTCGAACCAAGTCGTTGCAAGTTCTGATCGGCCTCCCGGAACAAAACTCCCTAAGATCTTCCAAGCCTCGCAACTTCACTTGATTCGAACAGCGAAGGGCGAGCCCACCCTGTGGAGGTCCTACGCCAATCTGGCCCAGGTTGATGCCACGAACATCCAAGGTTTCAAAAGCAAAATGCACCGAATAGGCCCTAACACAAGAACGAACCAACCGAACAACAGCCGCTAACGTCTGGGCAGATCGAAAACAGCCACTACTGGATGTCGCAGGCACCCACTGGCCCTTCTTTGCTCCCGGTACCGGGAAGACCCCAGCGAACCACCGGTAACACCAAAAAGAAAGCTCAAGCCAGCTAACTATACACTGCGTGGCATTTCCAGCACCTTCCTCAACAAGACGCTGTATGAGCCTAAAGCCAAAAGTTCCAAAATTCGTGGCCAGATCAGTTGTCTGTACAATCGTCAGCCAGTTGTTTGGAAGGGAGTCTAAAAAAATGTCACCCTCATGAGCCAAAGCTTGCAGAGTGACAGGAGCCATTTCCTCTTGCGCTTCCAACTCACGCACTGAAGTCTCATGTTTCTTCTTCAGCTCATGCCAAGTCGAAGCTATCTCTGTGTGTAGCGCTTGCAATTCTACCATCTTCTGCAGCTCACTGTTTTGGTGGGACACCAGTTGAGCCCACAAGGACCTCACTGAACTGCTGTGCATCGAATGTGCTGCCTGAGCTGCACGGTCTGCCAAATGGTTCCAGTGTGCCTGCCAGCTCTTCACCGGATCATCACAAGAGTCCCCCTGAACATGCCCTGGAGGAGCTCTTAAGCTGCATCAATAGTTCAGCACAGCGCATCCACAGGTCAGTGTTGGAATCGAAAGGTGGATCATGTACATGGTCTAGGAGTCTCCACACTCCCGTGGCGGTGTATGCACTGTCCGTCCAACATGCTACTGCCCCGCCCCACTCTACAGCCCAAGTTAAAGCACTGAGCATGGCTACCAGTTCCGCCCGATCACTAGAATGGTGAAATCCTGGTACAATGCCTGAGCTAAGTGTGCAGCCATGAGTCGCAGAAACAAGTGCCCATGAGGACAAGGCGCATTCTTGAAGGTCAGGCATCAAGCATGATCCATCAACAAACAGGTCCACCCAGTCTGACATGGTTTCAACCTCCTCATACACGAATTGTGGACACGCAAGAGGTCCAAGTGCTTGTTGATATGCTTCCCATCTAGGGAATTTCTCTGGCAGCAATCGATGTTTTTGTGCTATCGTGAGGTTGTCCCACCGGGAGCGGATGCTCTCATGTCGCTGGTGTACCTCAGTGAGCATTTTACATTGTATGCATCTATGGTCAAGGTCATCCGGCACCTGACAGAACGGGCAATCTGGTGTTCGCATGTTATCAAACTTAGCCTGCTGTGCACCAGTGCAAAAAGCTCCTTCTTGAAGTGCAGCTACTTGAGCAAACTGCAAACCATGCAGCTTCTTGTGTGCCCTGCGAAGCACTGCCAGATTGATCTTACAAAGACCCCTGAAGTCAGAGCGACCTTGCAGCTCCGAGGAGATCCAGTCGGTCCAAGCATCTTCCAGCAGAGAGAACAATTGCTGTTCAGGAATCTGGATCAAATCGATTTCAATGCCTACATGTGTGCAAATCAGAGGCGGGGAAATGACCCTCCAACCAAGTGGCTCAAAAATCTCCAGAAGCTTCGAGAAAGGGCCTGCCCTGAGGACACCCTCAAAGCCCTGGTGGTATTGACACCAAAGGTCAACCACCATGTCTTGTTTCAAGGCCATGCGTCTGAAGTCGGTCAACACCCTGGTCACCTGATAAAAGCCCGGATCAGTCTTCATGGGTGCAAGCAGCGAGAGCCTAACGAGAGGCGACGCTCCCGCAGCTCCATGTCGAAGTGCTCGAACCGCTGCAGTCCTTAATGCTTGAATGTGTGATGGTCCAAGCAAGCAAACTGAAATTCCATGTAGGGCTCGGGGCCAGAAGGCCTGCTGAAGAACCATCTGCTTCGATCTGTCATCAGCTCCCAATTTGCGCAGTCGTATCCACAACGCGTCAAGGGATGCTATTCTGGCTTTCTGAACTGCAATGCGTCTTTGAGCTGAATAGCTGTGCTGGGCTCCCAGGTCTCCTGCACTGGAGCGAACTTCAAGGCCCATAAGAGAGAGAGCGTCTTTGTCAGTCGCCTTGGTGCTCCACGTCCAAGACTTCCGAACATCCATGTCCAACCTCCACATCGAGAGAAACTCCTGCAGCACTATGTGTCCATGCTGTAAATGTGCAACATTCTCACTCAAGATGCCCAAATTGTCAACAAAGGACAAAGGAACAGTGGAGGGAGCAAAGTGATGGAAGTAGAAATGAAAGCTCAGGTCAACTACGCCCATGGCATAGCAGCTCAGTGCACATCCCTCTGGAACCCCGCATGTGCTCAGATGTGCTGGGCCAATCTCTCCACGAACTTGAAAACGTCTCTCCATCTTAGACAGAAAGCTTTCCCATGCCTGCAACACCTCCTTCGGTGCTCCTGTATGGCTTGCAAGACGTAGCATAGGCAGTCTAGGAATGTTCTCAAAAGCTTTCTGTATATCTGTCACCAAGCCCTGGAGTGCAGATCCAGCTGAAACACATAGCTCCACCAGGCCTTGGATCATGAAGGAAATCTGCAATGCTTCTTTGCCTGGCAGAAACCCCAGCTGTGTGTCGGTAGCCAGGGATGCTAGATGTGCCAGCAGCGGCCTAGCTCTTGCTGTCGACCAGCTCCGGTAGATGGTGGAAAAGATGATGATTGGTCGATAGTGTGCAACTTCGGCTGCAGTAGCAGTCTTCGCCAAGCAAGCCACAAACCCTGCTAGTAGTTGGTCTGGCCAGTCAATCTTTTGCTCCTCGATGGCTGTCAACATTTCAAGGAGAGACACTTGAAGCCCTCTAGGGGCCAGTTGGAGATCCCTCCCATGAAAACCGTCCGGACCCCTGGCCGCTTTGTCATTGTACCTTGTGTTCACATCATGCCATCCATGAACATCCAGCTGCTTGTAACCAAGATGGCTTTTTGGCAAAAAGGCCCGTCCAAAAGCTAGGATTCGATTCCAGTCACTTTCACTAACAGAGGAGTGCTTCTGCCAGCGATTGGTCCAGAAAGCTCCAAGCACCTCGAGGATGGTGGACACTTGTGAGCACACGCTTTGACAGACCAGTGACTGACCCGCCATCAGCAAGCAATCCGCATCAACGACCCTGTAGACATCCGCCTCCTTTCTCTCAAGCTGAATTGCAGTCATAGAGTCAACAAGCCAGATCCGATTGTCACAAAGACCAGTTCCAATCTCATGTTCCAGCTGGATCTCACTTCCATCCTCCGCCACCGCCAGTATCTCCGTCTCTTCGGTTTGCAGCAAACTGTCAAGATACTCCTTTTCGTGCAGGCGCACTCGCTTGAAGATGCGTTCCCGATGAGCCGTCAGTTGTGCCTTGGAGATTTCCTGCTGACGCCGAAGCTGCCAACTTTCGAGCTTGCGAAAGTTGCTGGTGAAGTCAGTGAACAGCAGCTGCACCATTTGCATTGAAGGCACTCCAATAGGCAGTTCAGCTGGAAGCCCCTGATGCTGAACAGGACGTGTGCGCCACCATTTTCTAAAACCACCCTGAAATCCTGCAGCTCGTTCAATAGCAGCCCAGGTTTCAATCCTGTGGGCTTGAGCGGAGGCCGTCATGGTGCCTCTCTGCAAGCTCTGCGTCAATGCTTGAAATCGACGAGCCTGTTTATACCACAGCTGAACTCCTCTGCATGCAAAGTCAGATACAAGGCGGATGTCACCTTCACGAGCCGATTTGCATATTGGTTGCTGAGACTGTTGTTGAATAGGACGCTTGACTCTGCCTCTCCCCCTGGCCCCAGGGGGGCAAAGCACCTCCTGGTAAATCAACGAACCCATCCAGACTGTTCTCATATGCATCAGCCCACTTTTGAAACCATTGGTTACCTGTCATGTCTGAAGACGACAGGCGGATGGGATCAGCATACTGACGCTGCCAGGAATCAACTTGCACCTTACTCCAATCGATGGTCTGAGGCTGAGGCCATATCCACCTGGGAACCGACTCATGACCTGGTGGACGAAAAGCTCCCCAGACAACCGAGTGATCAGGAAACAGGCTCTCCACTGTGGCTGAAACAAAAAGTGCAGCTAATTCCGGGCTCACAAAGACCTTATCCCTTCTTGTCTTGCCCTTGCAGGTGGGTTGTATTGGCTCATTGTGCCGAGCCAAATGTAGCTCCTGAACCTCTGCCCAGCCCATTGATCTCCAGAGTGCTATAGCTTCCAGGCTCTCATCAGGATGATTAAAGTCTCCCATGATAAACCGACAGCCACTACGTCGCAGCACCAGATGATCTGTCAAATGAAGCAACATCTTGTTGGTGTGTGATCTGGCTTGAGGCCACGTGGGCCCAGGACTCCATCCATAGATCATGGCACCAGTTATGCCTTGGCTTCCTTGGCTTTGGCTT